TATTTATTTTATTTATTTATTTATTTATTTATTTATTTATTAATTTATAGTACATCTTCATACACGTTTCTGGGTCTTTGGATACTTAAACTCACTTAAATTTACTATTTTTCTCTTGGTCTTCTTCACTAGATGATTACAGAGACAAATAAGTATATAAGTAAGGTCAGATAAGTACATGTTAAGTCACTTAGATATATGCAAAGTGTGTGTGTGTGTGTGTGTGTGTGTGTGTGTGTGTGTGTGTGTGTGCGTGTAATTTGTAAATGAAGTGGCGAAGGATGAGATGAATGAAGAAACGGAGAGAGAGAGAGAAAGGAGGGGAGACGTACTAAGGAAGAGGGAGAAAGGAGGAATGGGAATAGGGAAAGAAAGGGAGAAGAAAAATAAAAGGTAGGGAAAGAAAAGGATAGGAGAGGGAAAAGGGAGAAGGAAAGAAGAGGGATGGAAGGTAAGAAGGAGGAGGATGGAAGAGAAAGGAGAGAGAGGAGGGAAAAGAAAAGATAGGGAAAAGGGAAAAGGAAGGGAGAAGGAAGAGTGGCAAGGAATGACAAGAGAATAGGGGAGATGGAGAGGGAGGAACGGAAAAAGAGAGGGTGTTAAGAAAGGATAGGAAAGGGAGGAGGGATGAAGGAGAGGCGAAGGAAGGGTGGATGATGAAGGAAATGAGAAGGAGGGAAGGGTGATGAGGGAAAGGAGAAGGAAGGATAGGAGGGGAAGAAGGGTGATGAACGAAGGAAGAAGGAAAGGAGAAGGAGGGAAGAATGAGGAAAGAAAGGAGAAGCAGGGAAGGATGATGAAGGAAAGGAGAAACATGGAAGGATAATTAACCAAAGGAGAAGGAGAGAAGGGCGATGGAGGAAAGGAGAGGAAAGAGTAGAAGAAAAAGAAGAAGGAGAAGAGGAAGAAGAAGAACGAGAAGAAGAAGAAGTAGGACGAGGTCTGCATCACGTGTTGGGGTGAGGGAACATAATTCTGTAGATTATGAAGACATGGCGTCAGAATTTGAAGGTTATGAGGCACTACCCCCAGAATTTAACGATTATGAGAGCGTCGAGGGAGGAGTTTACCGAGGTTTATGAGGCACTGGGCTTAGTATTTTATAACCACCAAGACCTCTGATTAGAATTTAAAGCACATCATGCCCTGGATCACACAGAATTTAAACATTATGAAAAAGGTAGGCTAGTATTTTCGTTTTTTTTTTTTAGTTTTTTTTTTATAATTTATTTTCAGATGTTTTGGAATATTGTTATCTATGCGTTTGGTATAGTTTAAATAGACGGATTGATAGGTATTGCTAGATAGATTAGGTGATATTTGTAGAGAGAGAGAGAGAGAGAGAGAGAGAGAGAGAGAGAGAGAGAGAGAGAGAGAGAGAGAATATGATAAAACAAAATTTTTCGTCAACTTCAGCAGGTGAGAGAGACTGTGTGTGTGTGAGATATATACATATATATAGGAACAGCCAGTCTTCACCCCCAGGTTGGAGGAAGGTACCCAGGCGACCTCCTTCCATCTCCTTCTCCTCCTTGTACCTCCCACCTCCCTCGACCTCACGAACTCTCCCCAAACTGGTCCACTCGAAGAGCCAGAATGAGTCCAGGTTTTTTTTTCTTCACGGAGACTTGTACGCTAAATTTCTCACCTAACTGGAGATGAGAGAGGATGTATTTAACTGGTTCTCTTAACTTACGATACACAAAATGTTAGCAAATATGGCAACGAAACACCATGGAGAGACTATATTAAACCCTCTCACTTAAATAACACTAAGAACACGTATCTAACTGGCAACACAACAACACTAACTAGCAAAGCAAAATGGCATTGAAATAACACAGACACTCTAAATTTACCAACTAGAAATGAAACAACGTATCTCTAACTGGCAACACTATGACACGAAGATGATGGCAAAATTATGGCATCGAAATCCCACTTGGAGACTCAACCGTAAGGAAGAGGCGTTCTTATAATCCAGGTTAGGGCGGAAATTTCAACGTGAGAATCTTAAGGAATCTGCAGCCTGGTGATGAGTGTAAAAGGGTCTTCTCTCCACGACCCTCAGCTGTTATCAGTTATTACCTTGTTATGCTGTTTATCGAGTTTTTGTTGGCATACGAGGAGGAGGAGAGAAGGAAAGGGGGGGGATAGGAGGGGGAGAGAGGGGGGGAGGGAGGGAGGGAAGATCCGATAAGAAGAAGAGCAGAGAATTGTACTAAGAAGAACTGTGAATGAGAAGAGACTGACACAGATGAGAGATAGGAGAGGAGGAGGAGGAGGAGAGGGATAGGTGGGTGGATGGATGGGTGAAGCAGGAGGTAGGTTGGTGGGTGGGTGGGTAGGTAGAGAGGAGGAGGGTTAAAGGAGGAGATAAAAGCAGTGCCGTGAATGGATGTAGCAGCAGGATTGTGGTGATAAGAGAAGGGCGTGGAAGGATAATCAAACGAAGGAGGTTATGTCTTGTTTTGGTGTATGTTTTGGATGTGATGATTCTCCCAAATGATCCAAGAGCAAGATTTTTTTTTTTTTGGTCATGACTTACTTACTTACTTACTTACTTACTTTGCTTACTTACTCACTCACTTACTTACTTACTTACTTACTTTGCTTCCTAACTTACTTACTTACTCACTTACTTACTTACTTACTTACTTACTTTGCTTACTTACTCACTCACTTACTTACTTACTTTGCTTCCTAACTTACTTACTTACTCACTTACTTACTTACTTACTTACTTTGCTTCCTAACTTACTTACTTACTCACTTACTTACTTACTTACTTACTTTGCTTCCTAACTTACTTACTTACTCACTCACTTACTTACTTACTTTGCTCACTTACTTACTTACTTACTTACTTACTTACTTACTTACTTACTTACTTACTTGATAATTAATTCAGTCTTTGTTTATTTTGATTCCATAGTTTTTATTAGTATACTGTATCTCATTCGCTTAATTACAGTTCAATATTTTGATGTTAACTAGATATCGATAACAAAGATTTTTTCCGGAGATCTTACAGTAATTTAATTTATCACCATATACAAACAACCTCACATAGTAAATAGATTAAAAAATATATATATATATTATGAAGATTTATACAATAACATAATATATCCCCGTGATATTTTTCTTCACAAAAACAAACTCACACTAAAAAAAAAAAAAACGCAATGCAGGGTGAAGGTTTAAGGACAGTGTGTGTGTGTGTGTGTGTGTTTGTGTGTGTGTGTGTGTGTGTGTGTGTGTGTGTGTGTTTGTGTTGCAGTATATCTTCTTAGTCATTTTTGCTTTTCTTGTCTCTCTCTACGCTTGTCTTAATAGCTGGACAGATAAACATTACCGCAGACTATAGGATTTAAATCTTCCATTACATTTGTTTTTCTCGTGTATGTGTAATAATGTGCTAGTTTATATTCTCTTAGTCTCGTTACTGAACCAACACCAAAACTCCATGTGTGACAAATGGCAAACAAACAGGCGATGTAATGTTGTTTGATAGATAACTTTATCATTGCTACAAACACCTACAATTACACCTAATCATACTTGCCAAACTTTCATCATCACTAGTATTCTTATCTTTATTATCATCATTGTTATCACTATTATCAAACATCATGTCACCAATACAATCACCATCTTTATCACTGTCATTTTTTTTTATCTTCACTTTCACCATCACCATTATACCTCTGCGTCACCATCTTTGGCACCATCAGTATCATTTACCAAAAGCTCACTTATATTATTCTTTCCTTCGTTGTACTTCTCACTATTCTTTCCCTCTCACTAGCCTCTCAAAAGTCTACTCCCTAAACGTTATTCCAATCCAACCCTCTCACTACCGTATTTATCCCTCTCATTCCCTCTCATCCCTATTTACTGATCACTCATTACCCCCCTTGTCACCATCTTTCTCCTCCTCTCCCCCTCAGTCTTTCCCACTCCTCGTATCATTCTACCCCCTCTCGCCACCCTACTCTCTCATCCCCTTACTTGTCTAACCATCCTATCCCTTATCACCCCTCCCCCTCCCCCCCTTTTCCACACGTCTCCCTCACCCTTCTCCCTTTCGTTCTACTCACCGATTCAACCCTTACACACACACACACACACACACACACACACACACACACCTCACTCTAAAAAAAGATAGTTTCCTCCTTTAACTTCACCACACATAAACCTATGACCTACCCACCTAACACTACGAGACAGGTGCAACTGATCAAAGATGGGTCAGGTAGATAACAAGCACTGTCGCCAGGGACTTCCAAGGTGGTGGGGAGAATTTTACGAGGCTAGGGACAACCATTCTCTTCCTCACCGAGTCTGATTTCATTATAGTGTGGATAGGGGGGGATGGGTGCAGGGTGGGATATTTTACGTTTGTTTTGGGGGAGAAATGTAGGGGAGAGGGTGAGGGTGAATGGAAGGTAAGTGTGTGTGTGTGTGTGTGTGTGTGTGTGTGTGTGTGTGTGTGTGTGTGCCCCTTGACTTAGTGATATTTCCTAACCTCTTTCACATTACCTGAAACCCCATTCTAAAATATCTAACTATTTTTGTCATGTAATGTTAACCACATATTTACGAATCACCATCTAATATGTAATCAAATCACATATCTCCCTGTAAACAAACAACAAATAAGAGGGTAATTGAGTAACTCCCGTCAATGAAGATATAATTTCCAACAATAGGATACACCTCACCCACCGCCTCCTCACTATTGTATGTTGCTATCACGAGAATCACATCACCGTCTTGAGTCCCTTTGGTAATACTTCACCGCTGGTCATGTCACACTTCCTCTGAACATCGTTTTATAGACCCACATCCTCAGGCTATCCAGTAAAGCCGTAAGACTGAACAATTGCCACAATATGATGAGTTATTTAGAGCTAATTGAAGGGATTTTGTGGATAAATTATGTGGTTTTAGGAGGAGTTACCAAAACAAATAAGGAAGGTTTTTGTACTCACCGTGTGTGTTGTGTGGGTACTGTTGCAGCGTGTGGTTGTGGCCGGCGTTGTGGGCGTGAGCGTAGTAGCGAGCTCTTTGTTCACGCCCATTTGAGTCTAGGGAGGTAAAGAACCCATCCACTTCTTCCGGGGGGAGCAGTGTCCCTTGTTGCCCTCCTGTGTGATGGCTGGCTACGCCCCCACTCAGTGAGATTTGTGTCTCGACATTCATGGGTGTCGGGGCGTTAGGATCGTTGGCGTCCATGTGGGTGTGAGTGTCCAGGGCGCCCTCATGGGGGTTTTCGTCCTTGAGGTGCATGCCTGGGGGTCCCTCCTCCATGGGTGGGTGTGCCCCTGGGCCCCCGTCGGTGTACCAGCTGGCCCCGTCGTCGTCCATGGGGAAGTGGTGCTGGGAGACTATACACTACCAGGCCCCCATCACACGACTCTACCGCTCGCTGCCTCTGGTGCTCACTAACACTCTTCACTTGTCATTGTTTTCCACTTTATTACTTCCTTCACTGTTTACTTCTCTTCCTTCGTCTCTTTGTTAATATTATGTCATGAGTCTGGCTGTAAATTCTGAATCGCTTATCACTCAATTTGATCACTTTTGTATATTTTTCCTTCCCACTATTTATTGATATACTTTTCCTCTCCACTTGTTTTTATTTATATTTTTTTTCTTCTCATTTACATCAACACCATCAAACTTATTCTTGTTTGTGTTTCATGTAGTGTTAGTAAGTCATTCTTAACTCCACTTCTTCACACTATAGAATATTTATACGGCTTCTGTGTTAGTCTTACATCCCAACACTATAGTCAGGTCGTAGTAAAATTTTCTAAGTGAAATAAGGAATAACTTCACTATTTACCTCGTGTATTAAAACAAACAACAAAAAAACAGAGGGAATATATCGTCTCACACAATATCCCCCCCACATGAGAAACCTGACAGAGTTTCCTTCTTCATTGGTGTGGGCGTGAGGGCGTGCGGGCGTTGACTCTGGTGGGCGTGGCAGCTATAAGAAGAACAACAACAGCACATCAGCAGCGTCAGGGGTCGTGGACATCCTCCTCCCATGGGCGTGTGACCGTTAAGCCTTATCAGCAACGTTATCTGCAAGACACGGATGTTGATGAGGTATAGCAGCTTCCCGCTACCTTATCGCTGATCTAGCACCTAACGCTACACCGCTAAAGTCACCTACAGAATACGCCTCTAAAAAAACAAAACACAAAATACATATTTTCACCATTAAGGAACAAAATAGCAAGTTTATATCACTTGTTAAAAAATCATAGACCATCTAGAATAAAAAAAAGAAAAAAAAAGAAAAAAAAGATATCAGGTTAATATTATAAATTTATCATATAGTATCAACAGCATCTCTGTCTCATCGATCCCGGAGAGTTTAGTGGGGATGGAGGGGGAGTGGAGAGGGAGGGGTGACGGGGAAGAGGGGGCAGGAGAGGGGGTAGGTGAGGGGGGAGGGAAGAGTGGAGGGGGAGAATGGAGTGTATTCGCTAAGAATGTGGTGAAATACGGCGTCACACACGGGAGTTTATCAGAGCGGAGATGGCTTTGTCCAGCGGCTGTATATAGAGATAAAAATGTCTGTAAAGGTGAATTTCAGACATACGCCTCTTCTTATCTCCTATGTGTGTGTGTTAAGGTGATATGGCTGATGTAGTGGAGGAGTCAAGATGGATTTATATAGGAAGGAAGGAAGGAAGGAAGGAAGGATGCTAGCTGGGTAATATTGTTGCTTTTGTTTACTAATGATTTACTCCAGTGAAGGAAACTTATTGAGTGTTGGTAAGAGTGATGGCAGACTGTATAGTAGTGTGTGTGTGTACTCTCTCTCTCCAGAAAGCCTGGATAGTTAATGGTGTTGATGACAAGGGGGGTGATGACAGAGGTAGTACCCGTCCCCCCATTAGCGTGTTGTGATGGCGGTGGTGTTGTTGGTGTTGTATGACGGTGATGAGACTGATGATGACCTGAGAGAGAGGGAGGGAAGGGAGGGAGGGAGGGAGAGACAGGAAGGGAGGGAAGGGGTGGATGGAGAGAGGTGGATAGAAGGAGAAGGGAAGTGAGGAAAGGAGTGAAAGAGAGTTTGAGGGAGATAAAGTAGGGAGATGGAGGAACACAGAAAGAGGGTATAGGAGTAAAACACAATGGAAGAGAGAGAGAGAGAGAGAGAGAGAGAGAGAGAGAGAGAGAGAGAGAGAGAGAGAGAGAGAGAGAGAGAGAGAGAGAGAGTTAGGATCAGATGTTGTTGTTTTTGTTGTAAGGTTGTGATGGTTGTTGCGGTGGCTGGTTCACTCAACTCCACCATCTTCTACACATCACTGTCTATCAATCACTGTCAATAATCCCTCCTCCCTTCCTTCATTCCACTCTCCTCTCCTGTCCTTATATCCCTGATTATTTAAAACTATCTTATTCTCTTCCTTTCTACGTGTTTACTTTATCCGTTTCATCCTTGTTTGTTATTTCTCTGTTTCTCTATCCCTGTCTTCCTGTCTCTCTGTCTCTATGTCTGTATGTCACGTGTGTGTGTGTGTGTGTGTGTGTGGGTGTGTGTGTGTGGTTAGCAGTGAAAATAAGAGAGATTTAATGCCAAGCAGAAAGAACATGATTAAAACGCATCACATGACAACATCGGACCCCGTAGAAAAGCATTACTTTCCTCCTACCTACATACACCTACGTCCTTCTACGACCCGTTTCAGCATCTAACAGCTTCCTCCTCTTCTTCTTCCTCCTCCTCCTCCTCCTCCTCCTCCTCCTCTTCCTCCTTGCCATCCTCCTCTTCCTCCTAATCCAATTCCTTGTCTCCTACTGTTCTTCCTCATTTTCCTCCTCCTAATCCTAATCCAATTCCTTGTTATCTTCCTCTTCCTACATTTATCTTCATTTTCCTCTTACGTCACTTGTTTACACCCTTACCTTAAAATTACCTCAAATCTTCCCTCTGGTCATCACCTTTTAGGCAGTCAATTTACCCATGAACCCTTAGCCATTGCCTCCCTAAAATCAAACGTCGTCTACCATTTATCCACATCCCTTACCCTAAACTGACCTAAAAATCTCCCCTACTTCCTCATTACACTTGGTCCTAAACTTATCTAAATTTTCCCTAACCCCACGAAGACCTGCCTGCTATTGTTTTAACCCATGTGTTAGGTAAAGGTTGGCTGTCTAACTAACCTCTGCTGGTGTGTGTGTGTGTGTGGGTGTGTGTGGGTGTGTGTGGGTGTGTGTGTGTGTGTGTGTGTGTGTGTGTGTGTGGGTGGGTGGGTGTGTGTGTGTGTGATAATGATGATGATGATGATGTTGAGTTAGTGTGTTTTTCTGTTGTTATTGTTGTTATTTGTTTTTGTTTCTGTTCTCTTGTTGTTGTTTGTTTATTTGTTTCATGTTGTAAATTACTGATGTTATAGTTTATGTTATTGATGATTTTTGTTATTATTATTGTTGTTCTTATTTGTTTTTGTTTCATATGTTGAAGTTATTGATGATGGAGTATTTCTTACATCTATTGCTACTGATATAATTGACAATAATAAGTGTTGTTGTTGTTGTTGATATTGTTGTTGTTGTTGTTGTTGTTGTTATTGATTTTGTTATTGTTATTATTGTTCATGTTGTTGTTAATGTTATTGTTGCTACCGTTACTGTTGTTGGTTTTATCATAGTGTTGCTGTTGTCGTCTTGGTCACACCCAACAAACAGAACGAAAAAGACTAATTTTATTTGTTTTTTGTTTGTTTATTATATAATACAATTTATTATATACGATATTTTTATACATCTTTAAATTATATTGTGATAAATCCAGAGTCATTTTATACCACTAAGAACTATAGAAAAATACTAGAATTGATTCTCTCTCTCTCTCTCTCTCTCTCTCTCTCTCTCTCTCTCTCTCTCTCTCTCTCTCTCTCTCTTTCTCTCTTCACTGTATCTCTCCCCCAATTAAGGACAGAGAGACACACACACACACACACCATAGGTATCGTAGCTATGACAACCGCCTGTGGTCGAGTCTACAAGAAACAGGATGACTATCGTAGGAGATGGTAGGAGTGGGTGTCCTTAATTGGGCGATGGTAATGAAGGTAGCCGTGTTGTAATTGGTGTTAGGAGAGCTGTGGTTAGTGATTGGGAGGTGGGGGGGTGGGGGCAGGGGTGGAGGAGGAGGAGGAAGAGGGGGGGGGATGGGGTGGAAGAAGAGGGATAGGTGTAATTAGAATGGAGTGGTTAATTATTGGTATCAGAGAGCTGGGTATAAAGGGGTTGGTTGGGAAATTGGTTGTGAAATTGGTTGTGAAATTGGTTGGGAAATTGGTTGTGAAATTGGTTGGGAAAAAGTGAGATTTTTTGTTATTATTATTTAGTTTAAGAAAAAAGACAAATAAGAGTACACACACACACACACACACACACACACACAAAGTGAACAACAACCTAACAACTCTTAATAACCTCGCTAGGAAACTACTAACCATAAAACCTAATAAGAATCTTTATAACTACCCACCAACCCACCCTAACAATCACTCCTTCTACCAAAACAACCAATTACACAACCTCTAAACTGCCATATTACAACTAGCTAATTCACTCAACCCTCCATAAGGCTCTAACTTAAAGCCCCTTTCTGAGACGACACCTGAAAATTGTCACTTGAAGCGCCTTATGACCTTCAAGTAGCTAATCAATGGGCTTTTTCATATTGTCCTGGAGTTTCTATTGGTTGATTGGGCTGTCGGCTGATGAGGTGGGTGAATTTTCGTTTGATATGTGACTTCAAAATCCCCTTCTTGTGCGGTGTGAAGATTAAAGCTATGAATAGTGATGATGATGATGATGATGATGATGATGATGATGATGATGATGATGATGATGGATACTAAGTTTTTACGATGTATGTAAAATAAATGAGGCGCCATCACACACACGCACACAGAGTAAAGTCATAACTCAGACAAAATCTTCCTCACAATATATGCTATAAAGTTTACAAATTCAATTTAAATAAAATAAACAAGGTGTTAACAGAGGAGTCACCCATAAAGAGAAGACGTAAGAGGGGGAAAAGACGAAGAAAAAAAAACAAAATATCTAAAGGTAAAAGAAGTGTTGATGATCAGATGAACAGCAGCTGAACAAAAAGATGTTCAGGAGGTGGAATGTGACGCTTCAACATTCCACCGCGGGGATGAACACCTGTTGTTGTGTTTTGTTGAACATATGACTTTAGAGAATTGTGCCACTTATGTTTAGTTCATTATTGTTTCTCTCTCTCTCACACACACATAGGATAGATAGGATAGATAAATAGATAGAAATAAACTTTGATAGATAGATAGATTGACAGGTACAGGTGCGTGTCAGGCTTATATAAAGGTAAGGATGGTTTACCTTATTATACGCTTGGCTAACTTTAATTACCTGGAATAATACCTAGGCCCGTAGTGTGTTGTTGTTGTTATTATTATTATTATTATTATTATTATTATTAGTAGTAGTAGTAGTAGTAGTAGTAGTAGTAGTGAAAATGCTGAAGATTTGAACTTTCATGGGTAATAATAATAATAATAATAATAATAATAATAATAATAATAATAATAATAATAATAATAATAACCATCGTCAATAAATGCCGTAGTTAATAGTCATCAACTTTTACCACCCCATCAATGAAGTCATCAACATTAACCACCACCACCACCATCATCAACATTAACCACTACCACCACCACCATCATCAACATTAACCACTACCACCACCATCATCAACATTAACCACCATCACCATCATCAACATTAACCACCACCATCATTAACATAAACCACCACCACCATCATCAACATTAACCACCATCACCATCATCAACATTAACCACCACCATCATTAACATAAACCACCACCACCATCACAACATTAACCACCATCACCATCATCAACATTAACCACCATCACCATCATCAACATTAACCACCACCGTCATTAACATTAACCACCACCACCATCATCAACATTAACCACCACCACCATCATCAACATTAACCACCACCACCATCATCAACATTAACCACCACCATCATTAATACATTAACCACCACCACCATCATCAACATTAACCACCACCACCATCAACAACATTAACCACCACCACCATCATCAACATTAACCACCATCATCAACATTAACCACCATCACCATCATCAACATTAACCACCACCATCATCATCAACATTAACCACCACCACCATCATCAACATTAACCACCACCACCACCATCAACATTAACCACCACCACCATCATCAACATTAACCACCACCATCATTAACATTAACCACCACCATCATCAACATTAAGCACCGCCATCATCATCAACATTAACCACCACCACCATCAATATTAATCACCACCATCATCATCATTAACCACCACCACCGTCAATAGACGTCATCAACATTAACCATTACCACCACCATCATCATTAACCACCACCATCATCCATATAAATCATCAACATTAACCACCAATTCATCAGGTTACAGAGAAACAAAAAATATCCCCGCTGAACCTTGACTAAAGCCACGTAACACACTTAACATGTTGTCACACCTCTTGCACGTGCCTCCACACCTGGCTATGAGTACCACCTGTAGTAATTATGTCACACCTCCACACAGGATATACACCGTGTTAGTTAGAGCTTAATCCCGAGAGAGAGAGAGAGAGAGAGAGAGAGAGAGAGAGAGAGAGAGAGAGAGAGAGAGAGAGAGAGAGATAGATAGATAGATAGAGAGAGAGAGAGAGAGAGAGAGAGAGAGAGAGAGAGAGAGAGAGAGAGAGAGAGAGAGTTAGTTTTCAACCCCCCCGGAAGCTAACCATTGAGCAAATAACAGGTATTATAGTAATGGGTGTAAGCAGTATACCTAGACGATGTAATGTACCGTAGCGTAGCGCAACTGTTCACACACGTCTGTATATACACAAACACAAGGAAATCATACACAGTTCCTCACACCAGACTATTAGACTCATATATATACATACAAATCCAAACCCATTTATACATTGTGTATTTACACCTATTATATATATTCATGTGCAAAGTTTATCGTACACAAAGCAATCACACACATATACACACTTGCATATACATACACTTACACACACACACATACACACAGAGGTAAACATACACACGTACAATACATACACAGACACTCGCGACTTACCAAGGTACATAGTCCACTTTTGGTTATGTTATTGTTTATACTTTAACAACAATATAGTAGTGGTTTAGGTAGACCTGCAGTCACTCTCTAGCTGGTTGTACTGTCCTGGCCACTGGCTGTCACTGTCCAGCTGGTAGCACTGTTTCTGATCCTTGGCTGTCACTGTCCAGTTGATGGTCCTGTCCTAGTCAACTGGTACTCACTCTTCAAGTTCATGGCACAGTTTTGGTCACTGACGTAATCACTAATCAGTTGGTGACACTGCCCTGGTCACTTGTGATCATCATTTAAGTCTTGGCACTGTCACTGTTTACTGTTTAACTAGCGATACTGTCCTCGTCACTGTACAACCGATTGCACTTTCCTTGTTCACTATTCAACTGTTGGCATATTCCCGGTCACTGGCTGCCACTGTTCAATTGGGGCACTGTCCTATTCACTAGCAGTCACTGTTCACCTGGTATCACTGTCTTGGTCACTGGCGGTCATTGCTTAACTGGTGACACTCCTGGTTACTGACGGGCACTGTTCACCTGGTGGCATTGTCCTGGTCACTGACGGTCATTGTTCAGCTGGTAGCACTGTTCTGGTCACTGGCGGTTACTATTCTGCTAGTGGCACTGTCCGACACCGCTTGACCCGTACTGATTTACTGAGGGCCCTTGAGGCTTTTACGAATATTTTGCCACGGCGTTCGTAAGTGCTCGTGCGCAAGTGACTCTCACGGGAGTCTCGCTTCTACGACCACCTGCCACAGACGTCACTACCCCGTACTGAGGAGCATTAGGGGGGGATGGGGGGCTCCGGCATTGTGGGGTCGGGGGTCAGTCAGTAATGGGGGGGAGGTGGGGGGATGAGGGGAAGGAAAGGAGTGGGGGAGGTGAGGGGGGAGGGTCTCCAAGGGGGAGTTAGTTGGTCGGTAGGTGGTAAGGGGGAAGAAGGGGGTTAAAGTGGGGGGTCGTTGGTCCACGGTGGCACTTCACATAAAACTTCCTTTTCTTCAAGTAGCACCTGCACACACCGCCCCCCACAACAACGGGCCGTAAACTCGCTGCTCCTCGCCACACTTTGACTTAGGGGGGGGGGAGGGGGGATGGGGAGAGGGGGAGACGGTCTCGAAGGCTGAGGGAACGAAATCCTCACGTTCTTTGACCCGAACCACTTTGACAAAAACGCGTTCAGCAGCCGAGTCCCCACGAAGCTGTAGTCCTCCTCCTCCGCCGCCGACGACCGCCGCCGCTCACGACAACAACACAATACCACAGTCCTCTCTCTCTCTCATCAGCCGGTGCTCCTCCTCCCAGCTCTATAGGAGGCCATACTGGCTGGTGTGGTGTTTGTTTTGTTTGGTAATAATGAGAGAGGAGGTTATCACAGCGTGGAGATGGCAGATAACCTGCTTTCTGATAACACTATCTTCACCACCCCATCGAGGCCACGCCAGCTCCGCCTAGTGGCAGTCTCTCGAACCATACATGAGACTCGCGGCGCCGGGCCCACGTTCCTAGCGCCATCTCTTCTCTTTTTTTATTTCGATTTTGTATGTAATTGTGAGTAATAAGTGGCAGACGCGGCTTGCGGAGAGTGCAGGAGTGAGGTAAGGGTGTCACGGCACAGTATTGTTATTTTTTTAATACCTCCGTTTTTTTCGAGTTTCCCATTCTCGTTTTCGTGCACAGCCGACTGCCGCCCATGTGTCGACTCCGCCCACTACGATAAGATCTGTGATTGGCGGGCGCGGCAGGGGGTGGAACGAGCATGCGCCGCAAACAGCCAATCCCAGCGCGAGTTGAGACTAGATGAGAACGATAAGGACACAAGCACACTGCAATTAGAAATAACAATTTGATAAAGTAGTGCTCATCATTTTCACATTGCTTCATCTTGCTTTGATAGATAACCTGCAACATTGCATCGAGTCATAGCTATATCTAGATGAGGGAGATGACCGAAACTCAGCGAAAAAACGCCGATGAGCGAGAAACCTGTGGCCGGATTGTGATTGTATCTCCACAAACTGCTCAGCTCACAGAGGTGCACATGCAAATTGGCGAGCTTAGAGAAAGTACATGTGTTAGGGTAGAGCCGAGACATTCTGCTAGGGGGAGTAGTTTATGGGTGCGAGCTGAGGGAAGAAGAGGATAGGAGGAGAAGAAGAAGAAGAAGAAGAAGGAGGGAGAGGAGGAATATAAAAGGAGGCCTGTAGCAAGAGAAGGTGTTAGTTGATTCCCAGTCTGTGTGTTTTTAAAGTTCTTGTCAACCACTTAGACTCTTGGTTGACGTGCCTGCAAGAGATGTTGTTTGTTTTACTTTAACGTGAAGAAGGAAGACCAGGAGGAGGAGGAGTAGGAGGAGGAGGACGTTAACTTTGTATGTATGTGTATGTGTGTGTGTGTGTTTGTGTGTTTGTGTGTTTGTGTGTTTTGAAAACTCTCGGTGTTTTTGTTCTGCTTTTTTTTTGTTGTTGTTGTTGACGTTGTTGAAGAAGAATTTGGGTTAAGTGTCTTTGTTGTTGTTTTTGTTAATGTTTGTTTGTTTGTTTGAAGGTCAGATGTCATTGTTTGCATGGTGATGACTAATGGTGATATATGACTTATTGGTGGTGACTTATGGTGATGACTAATGGTGGTGACTTATGGTGATGACTAATGGTGGTGACTTATGGTGATGACAATGATGATGACTTATGGCGGTGACTAATGGTGACGACTAATGGTGGTGACTTATGGTGATGACTTATGGTGGTGACTTATGGTGATGACTAATGGTGATGGCTTATGGTGGTGACTTATGGTGGTGACTTATGCATATGACTTATGTTGATGACTTATGGCGATGACTCATGGTGGTGACTTATGATGGTGACTTATATGATTTTTGGTGATGACTAATGGTGGGACTTATTGTGATGACTTATGGTGGTGATTTATGGTGATGACTAATGGTGATGACTATGGTGATGACTTAAGGTGATGATATATGGTGATGACTTATGGCGGTGACATATGGTGATGACTTTTGGTGATGACGTTTGGTGGTGACTTAAGGTGGTGATTTATGCTGATGACCAATGGTGATTACTATTGTGATGACTATGGTGGTGACTTATGGTGATGACTAATGGTGATTACTATTGTGATGACTATGGTGGTGACTTTTGGTGATGACTAATGGCGGTAACTTATGGTGATGACTTTTGGTGATAACTTTTGGTGGTAACTTTTGGTGATGACTTTTGGTGTTGACTTTTGGTGATGACTGTTGGTGGTGACTTATGGTGATGACTTACGGTGATGACATGTGATGAAGGCTTATAGTGATGATTTATGATTGATGGCTTATGATGGTGACTATGGTGATGACTATGGATGACTTATGGTGATGACTTACGGTGATGACATGTGATGAAGGCTTATAGTGATGATTTATGATTGATGGCTTATGATGGTGACTATGGTGATGACTTATGGTGATGACTTATGGTGATGACTTACGGTGATGACTTGTGATGAAGGCTTATGGTGATGATTTATGATTGATGACTTATGATGGTGACTATGGTGATGACTTATGGTGATGACTTATGGTGATGACTTACGGTGATGACTTGTGATGAAGGCTTATGATGATGATTTATGATTGATGACTTATGATGGTGACTATGGTGATGACTTATGGTGATGACTATATTGGCTTATGGTAGCTTATGATGATGACTGATGATGACTTATGATGATTACTACAACGATTTCATTTTATTACTCCTGTTCCTTTTATTGCGATTAAAACATTTTCTATTAATGTATAATATATACTGGGAAAAGTTCATCTACTACTACTACTACTACTTCTACAATAGTTATTCCTGCCTTTAATATTTCAATAGCTGTTACGATTATAATTACTATTGCTGTACCGCTACCGTTCCTACCACTATTACTACTACAATTGTGTTGCTACCACTATTATTACTATTGTTGGTCATATTACTACTACACCTATAAGTAGTGAAAATAGTATAATAGTGGTAGTAGTGATAGTTAATATATAGTAGTAATAGTAGCAGCAATAATAATAGTAATAGCGATCAGTAGTAGTAGTTAATAAGGAAAAAAATATATTTGAAACATTAACAGTATTTTAAGTAATAAAAACAAAAAACAAAAAACAGGAAAATAACAGATATATAAGAATAAAATAAAAGCAAAACAAACACAAGAATGATAGAACGAGAGAATGTGAATATACAAATTTAACCACGAATGCTAACACACAGGTGGATTGCATTATGACACCTGTGAAAAAGCTGCATATGCGTGTGCCTGTGTGTGTGTGTGTGTGTGTGTGTGCATTACAAAGGTATATCACATCAAACAGGGGCGTATAACAAATAGCATAACATAATTACAGAAATGAGGGAAGCTTGTAACAGCAATATATATATATATAGTTCAAGGTTTGCAATGACAAGAGCAACGACAGGTATCATGAAGACCTGCAACAGTAACTCATAAGAATGTCGACAAAACAGAAACAACACCGGGCATTACTAACACCCACGATCATGATTAATTAACACCAAAATCTAATTATTAACACCATTAACAGTAATTACTAACCACAATAGTAATAAAAATTAATAAAAAAAATATAACATTACACACTAACAACAATAACAATATCAATGACAACAACAATAACTATTAATCGAAAAAGCAATAACAATAACAACTAATAACACCAAGAACAACAGTAATTACTAACAAAATAAACAAGAACTGTATGAAAACTAACAATAGGAAGTTACAGCTGCAGCATTAACAATAACAGCAATGTAAAACAGCAAGAACAGTTTATTTATCAGCAACAGCAGTAATTGTCACATTAACAGGAAAAAAGGCACCCAAAACTGGAACAGCTTGTCTAGAGTATCAACAACAAAAACATTAACAGTAACAACAGAAACAGTAACATCAACAACAGAGGGCAGGAGAGGTCTGGTCAACCCGTTCGGTCGCCTCGTCCAACACACACACACACACACACACACACACACATCAACTCTATGGCCCGGCCCCGCCCGTCTTGACACACGACTTTGCTTTGTTCAATTCGTCTTCTCATTCTTTTCTCAGGTCTACTAATTCTCCCCCACTCATCCTTCTCCTCCCTCCTCTACCTCTCATTCTCCTTCTTCCTTACCACTCCCCCTCCTCCTCCTCCTCCTCCCTCTCTTCCCCCCATTTCACCCCTCCTCTTTCTTCATGACACCCTCCTGTTGCCTATCTTCCTTCTTCTTCATCATCACTCCCTCTTTTCAGTTCTCCCTCTTCCTCCTCTCCCCTTTTCCTTCCCCTCTTCCTTCCACCCTTTCTCATCCATCCTTCTTCTTCATCACTCACCGCTTGTCCCTAACTCTCTCCTCTGCCTCCTCCAACCTCATCAATCTCTCTCTCTCTCTCATGTTCCACCTCTTCCTCTCCTCCTAACCCATCATTCACTTTCCCTCTCTTAATTATCTTATTTTCTATTCCTCTTTTTCTGGGTTATCGTCACATGTCGTTTCCTTCCTTCCTACCTTCCTTCCTTCTTTCTATGCATCATCTTACCTTCAGGTTCTTTATCATTAACGACCACAAAAATGTATTCCAGATCACCTGAAGATTAGACCTAGATTATCCACCTTAAACCTAACCTAACCTAACCTAATTTTTACTCCTATACTCAGTGGTTAACTAAGTTCTTGAAAGGGAATTTTTGTTGAACTCGAAGACATTTATGTATCAGTAATTAAACTCATTTTAATTGCTT